TCTTCAGGAAAAATCAAAGAAGTCCAGTTGTCTTTAAAAAAAATGTTTAAACCACTTTTAAACCAGGACTTAGAGGACTGAGAACTTCCATAGACACAAGACTTGCAAAGGCCTCCATTTGAAGACAGAGGTTCCCATCTTGAAGGGGGAATCGGTGGAAATAATTACTTTGACTGGCCACGGTGATGGGTTTTCCTCGTCCCATCTCCCCACCACCATTTCCTCCTCCTGTAATAGCATTGCCAAAAAAGGCATTAAGAGTTGTTAACCTAATTTTGTGAAGCTTCTCCAGTTACATTGTACTGCTAACTAGGGCATACAATACCCTTTGCCAGGCAAAAAAAAAAAAAAAAAGGACAAAAATTCATATGTGGTTGGAAAGAGTGATACAGCAGTGTATTGATTTAAAGCCCGAACTATTTTTGTTGGGTATTTTACCAGAGAAATATAGTAAAGAAAATGTATATTTAATTATTCACGTAATAACTGCAGCTAGAATCATATGTGCACAAAATTGGAAAAAATGGAAAAAAATTCCCTCAGAGGGAGAGGTAATTAAAAAAAAATTAGACGGTGCAGAAATGAACAGATTAACGTTGGCAATTAAAGAGAAGGAGGAACAGGAGTATTATAAGATATGGAACTGTTTTTAATAACTGGATAGAAAATCAATATGGACAAAAAGAAACAGAAAATTGAATACTTTGGAAAAGAAGTCAATTATAGGGCAGGAGTTGAATTGTTGTCATATAACTCCTTGTGTAGGTGTGGCGGTCACCTATGGCCCAGTGCATAACAGGGCATGCGCAGCCACGCTGAACCACATAGGAAAAAACAAACTCCTAAAAGACATAACATCCTGATAGTTCACTCTAGATGTGCCTTACCCAAGGACACCCAGGATTTGACCATATATAGACAGAACTTCCCTGAGCAGTAGATTAGCAATTGTAGTTTGACAGGCTGTCTTAAATCACATGCTGATTGCTCCTCCTGCCTTTGTCCTATCTCAATAAAAGGGGCTCCCAGACCCCAATCTGGGTTGCCTCATCCCGAGAAAGCTTGTGTCCGTGTCTTTTCTCAACATTGGCCTCATGGGCGAACCACGGGTACTTCACATTGAATTAAAAGGCAAGTGGAAAGATAAAGGTAAGATAAAAATAGATTAAAAATGATGTAACTGTTAAATATGAGGACACAAAGATTGAACCCAGATGTAAGATTAATGATGTAAGATTAAGTGTAAAATTAATGATGTAAGAGTGGTTATGGAAAAATAAAAAGAAAATTTTTCAGAAAAACCAAAACCCTTTGCCAGACCAATCCTCGAATACAGCTCATCTGCCTGAAATCTGCACTCTATATCGGACATTAATACAATCGAGCGAGTCCAGAGGTATTTCACGAGAAGAGTCCTCCACTCCTCTGCTCACAATAGAATCCCTTATGCCACCACGCTCGAAATTTTGGGCTTGGAGAACCTGGAATTACGCCGCCTATAGTCTGATCTAAGCCAGTGGTGGCGAACATTTCTCTCCTTGTGTGCTGAAACTGTGTGAGCATGCCCTACACTCACAATGCAATGCATCCTGCCAACCTGCGCATACATGTGTGACACCCCCCTGCGCATACGTGCTTGACCGCCCCCACCCCGCCATGGAGGGGAGTTTTTGCCCTCCCCAGGCTCCGGAGCCTTTCCTTGAGCCTCTGCGAGGGCGAAAATGACCTCCCCTGGGCTCCGGAGGTGGGAAGAACTCCCGTTCTTCGCCTTTGCCAGGCTCCGGAGACTTTCCTTGACCTCTGGGAGGGCAAAAACGGCCTCCCCTGGGCTCCCTGAAGCCTCTTGATGCTAAAAATGGAGCATGGGGGAGAGGCGTGCTGCCCCCCCCCTGCGGTGTCTCTGTCCACCCCCACCATGCACGTGCCATAGGTTCCAACACAGTATGCAAAATTGTCTCTTACAACGTCTTACCTGTCAATAATAACCTCAGCTTCAACCTCATTTTCATTTCATTTTTCATTCATTTTGCTTTATTTGTATGCCGCCCTTTTCCCTGAAAGGGACTCAGGGCGGCTCACAACTCAAGG